AGGGTTTAGGGTTTAGGGTTTAGGGTTTAGGGTTTGCGCAGGTTGTTGTTGCTTTGGGCGAGAAAGGCAGAGAGCATATTCCCTATCGCTCCAGCCGCCTGACTCATATGCTTAAGGATACTCTCGGAGGTAAGGGTTTAGGGTTTAGGGTTTAGGGTTTTGGGTTTAGATTTTACGGCCTAGGGTTTAGTGTTTAGGGCCTAGGGTTTAGAATTTGCGGCTCATGGCTTAGGGTTTAGGGTTTAGGGTTTAGGGTTTAGGGTTTCATACAGGTATATTCCAACTGGGTCTGCAGCCATTTATAGCGCTGCTGCTGCTGCTGCTGCTGCTCGTCACAGCACAAGTATAAATATCGTTGTTGCTGTTGTTGCTGCTACGATTAATAGTGCCGCTATTGGCTTTGCTGCTGCTGCTGCTGCCGCTGTTGCCTCTGCTGCTGCTGTTGCTGCTGCTACTACTACTACTGCTGCTGCTGCTGCTGCGCTGCTGTGCTGCTGCTGCTGCTGCTGCAGGTAACAGCAACACTTGTTTAATAGCAAACATATGGCCTGAAAGGCAATACGTAGAGGAGACAATTTCTACTTTGCGTTTTGCACAGCGGATGATGGGGGTGAGTTGGGGTGTATAGGCAGCTCTTGCTTCTTTTCGTCTCTCTCCCTGCTTCGTCTGGACTCTTTCTGCTGCTACTGATGGGGGAGAGAGGGTTCAGGGTTTAGGGTTTAGGGTTTAGGGTTTGCTAAGCTAGCCAACGCTAGCTGATCGCTAGCTGGGGGGCAGCTAGCGCGTACAGCAGGAACTATTCTAACACCTCTGAATAGCTAGCTAGCTAGCTAGCCATTCAGAGCAGCAGCAGCAGCTGCTGCTGCGCTGCTGCTGCTGCTGCACCTTCTGCCGCTGTTGCTGCTTCTGCTGCTATTGCTGCTGTTTCTGTTTCTGCTACTTCTGCTACTCCTGCTGCTTCTGCTTCTTCTGCTTCTTCTACCTTTGCTGCTGCTGCTGCTTTTGCTGCTGCTGCTGCTGCTGCTGCTGCTTCAGGTGTCTAGCAAGGCAACAGCAAATATTGAGATTGACCCTCTGGCTTTGTCTAGGAGATTAGAAAGAGATGTGCAGCGCCTCAAACACGAACTCCAAATCACCAACTCCCTCATGGGCAGGCCCCCGCCAGTAAACCCTAAACCCTAAACCCTAAACCCTAAGCCCTAAACCCTAAATAGAAGCGAAGTGAGCACCTAGCAGGCTTCAGCGGACGGTCGGCTCCGGAGAGAGGGTTTAGGGTTTAGGGTTTAGGGAAGGGCACTAGCTTGCTTAGCGGCCCACTCAAAGCGCAACTATGGCCTAGGGTTTAGGGTTTAGGGTTTAGGGTTTATGTTTAAGGCCTACGAAGCATCCTCCCCTGAGGAGCTGGAGGAGATCAGGAAGACGGCGACCCTCTTTTTAAATGGAGAGCAGCAAGACATTCAATTCTCCTCCGTCAGGTGCAGCAGCAGCAGCAGCAGCAGCAAAAGCAGTAGCAGCAGCAGCAGCAGCAGCAGCAGCAGCAGCAAAAGCAGTAGCAGCAGCAGCAGCACCAGTAACACCAGCAGCAGCTGTCGAGGCAAAACTTGCAATATTAGTGGCAGCGATAGGGAGCAGCAGCAACAGTAGCAGCAGCAGCAGCAACAGCAACAACAACAACAGCAGCTAAAACAGCTCCAACAACAGCAGAAGTAACAGCAACAGCAGCAGCAACAGCAGCAGCAGCAACAGCAGCAGCAGCAACAGCAACACGCACTTCGAAATGCCTCTCAAAAGGCCTTTTCATCATATTATTGTACACTTAACCACCACCACCACCACCGCTGCTGCTGCTGCTGCTGCTGCTGCTTCAGACAGATGGAGGAGCTGCTGCAGATGATGCGTTCTGTCTTTCAAGAGACAACAGCAGCAATCCGCCGAGAAGCAGCAGCAGAAGCATCAATTGCTTCCGCTGCTGCATCAGCTCCAGACAGCGATACCCAGGGGGCCCCCCAGGGGGGGCCCCAGGGGGGCCCCCAAGGGGCCCCTGAGGCGGGGGGGGGCCCCAAAGGTAAGGGTACACCGACAACACCAAAGGGTGGAAGAGAGCAAAGCAAAGGAAGCCAACAGGGGCCCCCAGGGGCCCCCCAAGGGTCTGCAACAACAGCGCCTAAACCTGTGCAAAGTGAGGCTTAGGGTTTAGGGTTTAGGGTTTAGGGTTTAGGGTTTGGGGCCGGGGGGTTGGCTACAGCCAGGTGCAATAACAGCGCCGAAAGGAGCAGCATCAGTAGCAGTAGGAGTAGCAGTAGTAGGAATAAGAGCAGCATCAGCAGCAGCAGCAACAGCAGCGTGATCAGCAGCAGCAGCAGCAGCGGGAGCAGCAGCAGCAGCAGCTGCAGCAGCAAGGGGTGTAGCTTGTTGCTGGTGTTGCTGCGGTGTATATCCGCAGAAGTAGGATATGAAGACCCCACAGTTGGCGGCGTCTCATTAGGGTTTGACCCTGATCAGTCAGAGATATCTGCAGCAGACAGACTCAGCGAAACAAGAGCACCTGGCTCTACCCAGTAAGGGTTTAGGGTTTAGGGTTTAGGGTTTAAGGTTGAGGGTGGAGGCTTTAGGGTATTTTGTTTGACGTCCTAGGGTTCTGTATTTAGAGTTTAATATCGAGGGTATTATATTTTAGGGTTTAGGGTTTGGGGTTTAGGGTTTAGGGTTTAGGGTTTAGGGTTTGCATGTGTTTCAGGGTGTATGAGGAGAGCGAGGGCATATCTGTTCGTAGAAATGTTGTTGTTAGTTCGGGGGTTTTAAAGAAAGAAGTATTTGCTGAGTTTAGTAAAACCGACGGTAAAGGCATTTGTTTATCTTTGGCGTCTCTGGAGACCAAACAAAACCACGGAAAGAGACAATTAAAAGCCCTAGGCAGAGTAAGACATTAAACATTTTATTTTAGTTTTTTATTACTTTTAATCTAATCATTAAGGAGACTTACAGAAAGGAGACAAACAAAACAAAAAAAGAGACAGATGCAATATAATCAAATACTATACAGACACTGAAAGCAAACAAACAAATACAGAGAAAGACAGAAAGAAACAGAGAGACAGATATATATATATATATATATATTTATTTATATGTATGCATGTATACATGTATATATATATATATATATATATATTATATTATAATATTGTATTGAACATAAAGAGAAGAGGAGAAGAAGAAAAGAGACAGAGAGACGCAGAGACAGCGACAGAGACAGAGACAGAGAGACAAGAGGAGACAGACAGAGACAGAGACAGAGAGACAAAAGGAGACAGACAGAGACAGAGAACCCTCTTTGTTGCTGCTTCTGTCTTTATTGTTATTAGGATATTCTGAAAATCAGAGAAAATATCAAAAGGCTGAGAGGCGAAATCGAGGCAAAACAACAAAAAGAACAAAACGCACAAGAGGTCCAAACCCTAAACCCTAAACCCTAAACCCTAAACACTAAACCCTAAACCCTAAACTCTAGACGACAAGACAAAACGAGAGACCGAGACAAAAAGAGACAAACAAACAAACAAATACAGAAAAATACAAAGACAGAGGGAGACAATAAATAGAGTTAGAGGCAGAAGGAGACTTGTCGAGAAACAGAGACAGAAAAGGAGACAGTTGGTTGTGCATAACAATTGACTCAGCAGACACCCCAAGAAGGAGACGGCCCTCTTCTCGTAGATGCAGAGGAGTTCGAACTCTTCAAACAAATCAGGGACTTAAAGGCAGTCAGAGACACAAGAGCTGCTGCTGCTGCTGCTGCTGCTTGCGCTGCTGCTGCTTGTGCTGCTGCTGTTGCTGCTGCTGCTGCTGCTGTTGCTGCTGCTGCTGCTGTTGCTGCTGCTGCTGCTGTTGCTTGCGCTGCTGCTGCTGCTTGCGCTGCTGCTGCTTGTGCTGCTGCTG